TAGGTCTTTTATCCTTCCTACCTCAACCCAGGATTCCAAGTCCCATTCAATTCGGGTTCCTTGAACTCCTACTGAGCAACCTCATTACCCACAATATAACCACTAGCAAGTCCTCCTCCTCACCCTCTCCAGTGCTGTTATCAATCATTTCCTAGCCTGCCTCCCTCCCATTCTCCCCTTCCTTATTCATTTCTCCAGGAGAGTGACAACTTCTAAAACATAAAACAAAAGTCATGAATTCAGTAAGGAATCATGTGGATAGGGCTCCCCATCACTTCTAGGATAAAACCCAAAGTTGTCATCTGGCTTTCAGTTCTTTCTGGCTTCAGAGATGGCTTTCCTTCACTATATCTCCATACGCTCTCCCACCCACACCTACCTAGCTGTCTCCCGGCATCCGCATTTACCAAGCTGCTTTATAGTTCACAGCTTTTCTCAAGTTTATCTCTTATTTTCTACAATTCAGCCCTAGAATCCCATTTTCTGTGATTTATTGTCCTACTTTTTTTCTCCACTGGGGGTAAATCTGACTTCTCTCTATGGGTCCTATAGGCTATAACCTATATAAACAAACCTGTATAACCTAGTACAATAGCACCTGTTGGACTTGTGTATTTGCTAAGGGCTGTATCCTCATCATCAAACAAATAATCATCAACCACACAACAAATGTTCACTGAATGAACAGACCAACATTCAGCCTCACTTCAGTGGGTCTTTCATAGACATGTCAGCAACATATTATATGTACTTCTCAGTTGCTTAAAGGTATTTTTGAATTTTTGCTTTTAATATTCTTTTCTTTCTGTATTTCACAAGTAAACCTAGTGAATAGTTTCCAGTGGCTTCCTTATCCTAAAGCTATTTTATAAAGCAGAGAATGTCTTGAATGGAAAATAATACCTCTTAGAATTTGAAGAATAATAGAAGCGTTTCCTTCTTATTCTTAAACTCCCTGGAAAGCTTATATATACATATATCATCCACTACCCTCCCTCTAAAAGCTAGTACCCTGTCATATTTATGCAGCATGGGTATAATCTTACAAGATTAACAAGAAATGAACCCTCATACCAGGCCATAGAGTTATCTTTTTTTTTGTGTGTGAGCTGTGGGGCTTGAACTCTGGGCCTGGGCGCTGTCCCTCAGCTCTTCAACTCAAGGCCAGCGCTCTATCACTTGAGCCACAGCGCCACTTCTGGCTCTTTCTGCTTATGTGGTGCTGAGGAATCGAATCCAGGGCTTCATTCATGCATGCAAGGCAAGCACTCTACCACTGAGACACCTCAACCCCCCCTTTTTTTTGGTCCATTGTGGGGCTTGAACTCTGGGCCTGGGCGCAGTCCCTCAACACTTCAGCTCAAGGCTAGCGCTCTACCACTTGAGCTACAGCGCCACTTCCAGTTTTCTGAGTGGTTTACTGGAGATTAAAGTGATGGAATTTCCCACCTGGGCTGTCTTTGAACCACGATCCTCAGATCACAGCCTCCTGAGTAGCTAGTATTACAGGCATAAGCCACCAGCACCCGGTTAGATTTCTCTTTTATTTTCTGTGTGGTGTTAAAGAATGCACTCAGTCCCAATTTACCATCCTTCTTAAAGAGACTGGCAACAACGTTTTTTTTAAGCTGCCTATGTTGCATAATAAACTTCTTTTATCACTCACCAATACTCATCTTCTATTAGACATTTTGAGTAAGTAGCCAGATCTGACTCTTGAAACCCAGGACTTTGCTCTAGGGCCTGAAAATCTTCTATATCGGCTTCACACAATAGCCTCCTAGAATTGGTTTTGGAGAAACTTTGTCAACTCTGATTTGGAAATCATTGCATTTTACAAAAGCAAAATGAATAATCTTTTCCCTCATAGTAATGATTTTTTCTTTAAAAATCAGACTTTAACAGCATGAAAAAAATCTATCTTTTTGTTTACTCTGTGATCTAATAGCTAGCTTCTCAGCAAGATGAGGTACCTCAGAAATGTCTGCGACCACGAACCTCTGCCAGCTACCCTCCACAAGAGCACTTCCCAAAGGCCCCGAGGAGTGCTGTGGACAGGGAGATGTGCTATGAAGGCAAATACAGAAAATAATATATTCAATTGAACCATAAGAAGATTGCCATCTTTGGCAATTTGATGTGGTTCAAAGTACTGCTATTTGAATACATCCATAAAATTATGCTTACAGCAACTTTTTCTCTCAAATACTTCCCTGTGCATAGTCATGCTAAACTGAAATAATCAGAACTCATATTATGACACTAACGAATATAACAGCAATTATACACAGCCAAAAACCAAACTGATGTTAAAGGCAACTCATCATTTGCTTTGAATGAGCACACACTAAGGCAGCTTCCACAATTGAGTCTGACACTGATAGAACACTGCATGACACACAAACTAATAGGTACTTTAAGAGCTGGGGAAGGGAACTCAAAGGCTTCTGGGGATGTCACGGCACACATCATAAAAGCTCTGAAGAGTTAAGAGGTACAATAACAGGTTCCACATGCTGTACTAGCTATTAGTACTGAGAACATTTTCGTCATTCTGCCATCTAAACACTGCACACCACCATCATCTACTTACTGTATTTTAATAGATTCTATGCTATTAGATTTTCTTCCTCTGTATTTGTCCTATTTTGTTATTATCTGGGGGCATGCTCTTGTTAGAAACAGTATTTTTGACCCATCTATCCTCAATATAAATAAAAACCTTCAGCACACAAACAAGGTCAATTTGTTCTGTTTGGGAGATATGACTGACCACAGGGTATTGAAAAGTAAAATTCATTCCCATCCCATTAGCCTTGTGAAAGTAGAACTGAAGTATGCTAAACAACTGAGCTCTTAGAACCAGGCTTTACCTTATTTGAATGCACAGACGCTGATATACATATATATATATATATATATATATCTACCTCTCTCTATATATTTTTTACATATGTATGTATATGTATATATATATATCACTGTTGGAGACTGAACCCAACATATGAGAGGCAAGTACACAGCACTTCCAGACTCCTCCAGCTCTCTGGGGTTTTTGTTTTGAAACAGGGTCTTGCTCCTAAGCTTTTTGAGACTAGAGGCTTGCCTCAAACTTGCAATCTTCCCAAGTATGTGCCTGACTTCCTGAATATGTTCCTTAGAAATGTGCCTGACTCTCTCTCTCTCTCTCTCTCTCTCTCTATATATATATATATATATTTTTTTTTTGTCATGGGGCTTGAACTCTGGGCCTGAGTGCTGTCCCTCAGCTCTTCAGCTCAAGGCTAGTACTCTACCACTTGAGCTACAGCACCACTTCTGGTTTTCTGGTGGTTTATTGGAGGTAAGAGTTCCACGGACTTTCCTGCTCGGGCTGGCTTTGAACCGCGATCCTCAGATCTCAGCCTCCTGAGTAGCTAGGATCACAGGCGTGAGCCACCGGTGCCCAGCATGACTACATTTTTTAGTATAAAGAATATTCAATATTTCTCTTCATTGCTTATCTTTATAATTAAGTGCTTTTCCATTTGATACAGATTTGTACCTCATTTGCAGGGCACTAAGTGAGAACATCATTGGTGCTAGTAGCTCAAAACAAATATTTTCATCTGGAAAATAGTATTAATGAAATATTCCTCAGCTCTAATTTCAGCCATAGTATAATAAATGATTCTGTGGCTTTCTAGAACTTAAGTACACATAATCCAATCCCTATCTTTACATTCACATTCATTTAGATTAGATAAAGTCTTAGGGTGAGAAGAAAAGCTTTAGGGCAGAACCCTTGCCTGGCATGTGGAAAGCCAGGGAAGATCCCTGTAATGAAAAACAGAAAAAAAAAATTATTTGCAGAAAAGGGCACAAGTATGTGGAAGTTTCCTTTAGTGCCCTGAGTGTATTGAGTGATAGTGTAGATGGCAACAAATTACCTAATAGGGAGGAAGGTAAACTGAGCCTAAGTGGTGAATGTACTAAGTTATTTGAAATTAAGGGTCAAATGGTACAGTGCAGTTGTGTCATTGGATAACAGCATGGGAAACCATGATAATCACAACTGCTTAACTTAGTTAGCATCTTGTGTTCTTTCCATTCTGCTAGAACAGGATTTGGGGGACTTTAGTGCTTTAAGATACAATCTATCAGCCAGAAATTCTACCGGAAAGACAATTCTGTAAATCATGAAGTTAACCCTTCTAATGACAAGCCAAGACCATACTCCTAATAATAAAAATGAAAACTACAGCTGACCAGCCACCCTTTATCAGGGCAGAGCTTCTCAATCTCTGCCCTGAGCATGCGGCCACGCACTGCCCAGGCAGGCACCACAGGACACCGGTCCAGGCTGTGCTGAGGAATGCTCAGGAGGAAGCACTACTTTGGGGGAAAGTGACATGAGAAACAAAAGTAGCACTGTTGAGCCTTTCTGGAACTTGGGGCTTCTCATTTAATAACAAGATAATCCAGACTACTTTAAAGGCCTCAAAATTCTAAAACGCGTAACTTCACATGCTCAGTGCTATTAAATGTCACAGCTCATTTAAAAATCTACATTCTTCAGTATTTCAATAGTATTTCCCAAATATCTACTCTGTGTGGGCATGTAAAAAAATGTGAAAGTCCTTAAATATGGTTTTGGGGGACATGGAGGCTCTTCTTATTCAGCTCAGGCCTGCCTCCAACTAGCGATCCTCCTGATTCAATCTCAGTCTCCAAAGTGCTGGGATTACAGATATGTACCACTATGCCTGATCCCTAAGTACACGTTGAAGGGTTAAGTAATGAAGACTATTGAACAGTACCTCACTGGTGGACAACTACAAAATGGAAAAACTTGCTTATGCAAACCAAAGAAATATTAACTTCTGTTCATAGAAGCTCAGAGCTTCTTCTAGGAAAATAAGATATCTCTCCTCTATATATTTCACTTACGTTTTTAAAAAAACAAGTATTTAAATAACTACTGCTAAATTGCAATAAAATCAAAATAAATTTCCAAAGTATGAGTTCATAAAAAATAGTTTATTTTAAAGACTCTCAATAGGACTTCAACATCTTATTTTCAGATGATAGCAAAAAAGGCTACCGGTGTCTAACATATGTTAATCCATGACAATGCTCACTCCACTCCACTACTTTATTTATTTCCATGGGGTTGAGGGTAGCAGAAGGCATGATTCAGTTTTAATTATTACATGATTGATTTTTCCCCTAAGAGTGAGATGAAATCTTCATATGAATATAGGTGACAAAGGTTACAAATATATATCAACTTACAGCTCATCTAATATTTTATAGTTTTCAAAAATCTAGCTTTATAATCTTTTTCTTAAAAAAAATCCTGAACACATAATCTGCATAATGCACATTTCTCTGGAAATGCATGCACACATCTAATAATAAGGTCTAAAGTGAGAATTACTATCCCCAGGAGCGGGCGGGGGAGGCAGGGGTGGAGGTGCAGGAGGAGGAGGCAGAGAGTATGGTACATGATAGGGGTGAGGTGTCATGCTGGGTGTGGCCCAGCCCATGTTTACAGAGGGGGGTGGAGGTGGAGGGAGTGAGAAGTTATGCATGTCGAAGGCTGGAGGCGGGAAGGGATAGTGGGGCATGAAAGGATTATCTTGTCTCTGTGGTGGAAATCCTGAAGTCTCTGGAGACACCAGATGGTCTGAGGCATAAAACTGCTGAGGTGGAGGCCTGCCATGGCTGGGTCGAGGGTACCGGCCCCTGGGAAACCCTCTCGTGAATTCTCGGTTGCGATAGCCCTTTGAATGCTCGGAAGAGCTGTAGGCATTCCAATTCTGATGTACCTCGGAGAAATCTTCACCTTCAAACAGGAGACAAATATATCAAATTAAAATTACAGTTAGTATGTCAAAAAGCATTACTTGAAATTCAATGTCTTTTCTTTAATTACTAATAAATGGCAGTCCACTTTAAACAAATTGTAAAGTCAGGAAAAAGAAAGCCTACCTACCTCATGAGACAGAAAACATTTGGATAGTCAGCCACGCCGCACAAAAAAAACAAACCAAAAACCATCATCTGACTCTGGGGTTTCAAAGGTAAGTAGGGAGGGGCGCTGCTATCCTTGGCAGCCTGTTCTGAGGAGCCACGCCCCTCCCACCAAGGGCATCGAGGGCAGAGGGAGCAGGCACCCCCCAATGCAGGCCTTCCTGCAATGGGAAAACTAAGCTTCCATCTCCACCAGGGCAGGTCTTCCTTGCCTCATGTAGTGGGACACCGTCAGAAGAGACTGAGTGTAGTGTTGATTTGGCACTGTCCCGCCCTCCATTAGAATCAGTGGTGAAGTTGTCCTATGCTCGCTCAGCCAGCCACAGAGACCTAGGGCAAATGAGAAGGCTCCCCCATTTTCACCGTCAAGAGCTATCCTTTACCCATGAGAACTGAGGGGCCACCTGAAAAACCTGGACTTCTGTGGACCTCTACCTTTTCCTGCCCGCTTCCTGTCCCTGCCAGAGCAGAATTTGAAAAGCAAGCGATCCTGAGTTAAAATAGACTTATATAAGATTTCATTGTATAAACTCAAAATACTCAGATTTCCATACAAAATAATTCATTATCAAGAGAATCAAAAGATTTCAAATCCAATAAAAAAGGAAAATCAATCAAGGCAATCCACAGATGTTTGAATCAATTAAGATAGTTCAATCACAAAGATGCTTCAACAAAAGATTATGAACAGTCTAATAAAATACAACTTTAAAAAATCAGATAAAAAGATATAAATATAAATTTCAGAGCTCTACATAGTGATAGTGAAAAAGAAAGGGAAATGAATAATACAAAGAGTAAAGCCTGAAGTCTGACAATATTCAACTCTAAGACTTACTGTCATAAACCTATGATGATCAAACCAGTATGATATCAGTGAAAGAACAAACAGATCAATGGGAGAGAAGAAAGTCAGAAACAGAGCCACGTAAGTAAAACCAAGTGATCCCTGACAGGAGAGCAGAGCTAACGGGATGAAGCAAGGCTGGCCTGTCAATAATGGGGCTGGGATGGACAACTGCACAAGAGCACATAAAAACAAATTTAAAAAAAATCGAAAACCTTAGAAACAAACCTTACCCTAATCAGTACTCAAACTCAAACTCAATCATTAGACAAACTCAAAATGTATCACAGATCCAAATGTAAAATGCAAAATTCTAACACTTCTAAAATAGGACATAGGAGAAAACTGAGTTTATACACAATCTGAGAAACAAACCTTACCCTAATCAGTTCTCAAACTCCAACTCAATCATTAGACAAACTCAAAATGTATCACAGATCCAAATGTAAAATGCAAAATTCTAACACTTCTAAAATAGGACAGAGGAGAAAACTGAGTTTATACACATAAGATATATGAAAACAGAATTGCTAAGCTGAATTTCTTTAATATTAATTCTTTCTGCTGTGAAAAACACTGTCAAGAGAATGAAAGAAACATCACAGACTAGGAGAAAATATTTGCAAGACCTACTAATAAAAGACTGTTATAAAAAATATACAACTCTACTTCTCTACTAAATTTTATATACTAGTAACTAGTATAAATAAATCTTTGATAAAACTTGTGTGCGCCCATATGTGCACACACACAAAACTCTAATCTGATTAAAAAATGGCTGAAGACCTCAACAGGTATTTCATTCAGATGGTAAATTTGCTCATGAAAATACTGTTGTCTTACGTCATCAGGGAAATTCGAGTTAAAGCATTGAGATGCAACCACACCCTTATTAGAATTCAAACATCCACAACGGTAATGGCATCAAATCAGAGGAATTCTTACCCATTGCTGTAGGAAAGCAAAATAGTACTGCTACTCTGGAAGATACTTTAGCAGTTTCTTTCAAAACTAAGCCAACTTTTAATAAGTGACAGTAAACCTTCTCTGTAGTATTTATTAAAATGAGTTAAAATGTTGCATAACAGCGTACTTGTGGCTCAGGCCTGCAAACCAGGAGGCTGAGAACTGAGGATCATGGTTCCAGGCTGGGCAGGAAAGTCCATAAGACTCTCATCTCCAATTAACCACCAAAAAGCCGGAGTGGAGCTGTGGGTCAAGTGGTAGAGTACTACCCTTGAGCATAAAAGCTCAGGGACAGTGCCTAGTCCCTGAGTTCAAGTACACCACCCCTCACCCTGCCCTGCCAGGGAAAAAAAAAATTGTACATGGACATTTGAGTAATCAGAGTTTATATGTATTGCCAATGGGCACAAGAAAATAGCATTAACCATTAGTCAAATGCAAATTAAATCAACAGTTTGATACAAGTACACTCATAAAATAAATAATGACAACACCAACTGCTGGTGGGAATACAGAGAATCTGAGTCACTTGTGTATTACTGACGAGAATGTAAAATGCTGTAGCCATTCTGAAAAGCAGGAGGGAGTTTCTTAAGAAAGTGAGCATGCAATGTAATTCTCTACAACCTAGCAACTGCGGTCTTGAGTATTTGACCAATGTTCATTTCTTTTCCCAAAATCTTGCACACAAATATTGATTTCAGCTTTATTCCTAATAAGGATAAATTGGAAACAACAGATATTCTCTCTCATGGATGAATGGCTAATCAGCCTATGATATATTCTCACAATGGAACAATATTCTTTCAAGGGGCAAATGAATGAAGAGAGGAAGTGGGGAGAATATGGTCATAAATTCATTATGCTATAAAATTAAGAAAATTGAAGGAAAAGGTGGGGCTGGAAGGGGTGGGGAAAAATGATGGAAGGGTTGACACTGACCAAGATGCACAGTTTTCATGAACTGTTTTGTTGAATGGAAACTCCTCTGAACAACTACTGAAAGACGACATAAAAATATTTAATAAAAAGAAAAAGAATAAAACAAATACATATATAGAGAAAAAATATATAGTATATATAATACATAAATATATATAGATAAACTTGAATGGATATCTAAAAACGTAAGGTCCAAAAGTGATTCCCTAATTGTAATATATTGCATCATAACATTTACGAAATAACGAAGAGTGTTAGAGAAGTGCAGAAAAGACAAGTAGTTGCCTTGAGTTTGGCCTTGACTATAGAAAGGTAATGCAGCTGAGCTTTCTGGCGATGGGAATGTTACAGCTGTCTTGACTGTAACAGACTGCAGTGTCAATAACCCTGGCTGTGACATCAGGCAATCACATGAGGTGAAGGTCACACAACACTTCTACTACTGCATTCAATTATGTGTAAATCTATAAGGATCTCAAAAAGGTTAACTGTATAAAAGGGAAAAGATGAAAAGCATAGTAAATGGGAATGCATGGTAAAAAAAAATACAATGAGTTAGGTGTTAAGTAATTATATTGTACCATATTCTAAAAATAAAGCAAATGGGTTTCTTCAGAAAAAAAGTACTGATAGCACAAATGACTGGAATGAGGCTTAATTTTTGGTCCCTGGGAAGACAGTTACATCTTCTAAGTTCATAGATGAATTCTTATGAGCCTCTCCACCCTCCATCCCGTACTGTCCAACGCCTCCAACGCCAGCTGGTTGTTGCGAGACACAGCCCTAGCTATCTCCTCCAATTGTGCGCTGATGAATGACACAGATGTAAATGAAGACGCAGAATGGCTATATAATGCATTCACTCACCTGGCTCAGCAAGTTCAGATTTAAGTTTTTTCCGACCTTGAGTCTGGGATTTCTTCCGATGCTTGGCTTCTTTTTCTTTTTCATCATCACTGAAATCTAAGGCCTGGCAGACAAAAGGATTCAGATTTACATTCCAGGGATTTGTCAACTCAACAGTTGAGGTGATAATAAACCTGCAATTTACAAGCTGACCAGGAAAATAAGATTCCCTTTTCAATACTCAGTATTATCAGCTAATCTCTGAATTAACTGCCTAATTGACTCTTCATTAACACAGGCCATTAATCAGTAACATTCTCAAGTTTTCTGTTTGTCTGTTTAATTGCTAGACAGCTTCAGATAGGTAATTAAAATCACAGCACTTAGCAATCTTGAGCCATGAGCACTCCTGACTGGTAGTCTAACCTCCAGCCCAGCCTTTAAGGCTTATCATGATGTCAGCTGGCAAAGGAACTCAAAGAGGAATGAGACTAAGCACATTTTATATTCTTCAGATCCAACAGAAAACTGTGATTTTTTTTCATGGTTTCTTACAATTAGAATATTTTTCTATTAATACTAGAAAACAGATGTTATGCTTCATATGAAAAAATATGAAGGCCAAGGACAGTGACTCAGGGTTTAGGTTTAGGTTTAGCTCCTCAGGGTTTAGATTTGGCAATCAGTTTGAAGTCTCCTTGAGCAAAATACAAAAAGCTCACAAAACTCCATTTTGACTAATGGCTGAGTGCAATTACACAGATAATGCATATAGTATATAATTAAAAATTCAAGACATCAACTTAGTACCTTATGTGAATTTGTTTTGAGACAGGACATCATTCTATAGCCCAGGATATCCTAGAACTCATGGTCTTTCTGCCTGAACCTCCTGGGGCTAAGACAACAGATATGCTCAGCATAATTTAATAATTAATTTTTCATGTGTGTATAATATTAGAGGTTGAATTCACGACCCTGTGTCTGCTATGCGGATATTCCTCAGTGAGGTTTTTTTAAGTGATGTTAATTTGTTAAGATTCTGAAATTTTGATTAATTCTTGCATCTGTTAGACCTTAAAGTATTTGAAATCAAATGGAAATATTTCATCTTTTGAAATTAGTCAAAAGAGAAAATTAGATGGGTGTGCCCTTAGTTCAAGCCCCAGTTCTGGGACAACAACAAAGACAAAGAAAATAAGACAAAATAATACAATGAACAAGTACTATAATTTAGTGTGTAAAGAGAATGAAGATAAAAATATAAAAGGAGAAAAAGGAAACAAAGACTTGTTGGTATGGATTGCCTAAGGTAAATATCTTATGGGGACACAGTAAAGGAAGGGGACTCTTCAGGGAGCAGTTAGGGTATGTGCTGACAAAGGGGAAATGGCTCAATGAGGCAGGAAGAGCTTCTTACACAGCAAAATCAGAGAGCAGAAAAGGCAATATAGAATACTGCCATTCTGAAGAAATAAATCATCTCAGGAGCAAAGGAGGGAGCTGAAGGATTTAAACTAGGAAAAATTTATTTGAAGTGATTTCTTGGGGAAAACTGTGCTAACATTTCCTAAATTCAGAAGGAAATTTACACTTTTCTATTTGCAAAGTCATCCAAATTTTCATCCCTTTAGCATTTATTCAACTATAAATCATAGGTTTGTCAGAATTACACTATCAAGTGAATAAGATGCATTTGTAAAAGTTTTTTATGGTTTTTAGCTTGTCCAGCATTTTTCACAGTACAAAATTTTTCCAATTAAATCCTAATCTATGATTAACATCAGGAGAGTAATTATTCTGGGCTAGAAAATGTCATCAACAACTACATAATCAAGTCTCAATATATTTCATGATCCAGATTGACACCTAGGAAGAACAAACAGCACATAGCATGTGGGATTTCAGTTTGCAATTAACTTAAACTAACACCATAAGCAATTAACAGAATTAGTGGCTTTAATGCTTAGGCTTGAAACACCAGGGTGCATTATAAAATCTGAAAATCACAAAGGAAATTTCAAGTCCTCTATGAATTTTTACTTTGAAGTCTTATTTCAGTAACAATGTGCTGGAAATCTAATGAGAGAACATTAAGAGGAGGCACAGAGCCCTAAGGACAATTACGTGTATACGATACTTAGACAAGACACACTTTGGTGTGTATTCTATACTAGGGTCATTCACTAGTTAAGTGCCATGACCTTTGGCACTGCTTAAATAAGTCTAAAATGCTAAAAGTAAAACCTGAAAAATATCTAAATTCCACTTCCTAAGAACTCAGCAAAGACAATCTGCTTAACTATCTCCATGGAGAGCTTAACCGAACTCCTATTAAATCATTAACTCATTTACACACTACTCTCAAATTCATTCTCTCTTGTTAGAGCAACTAGATTATCAGCCTTTCTTGGGGTATAAAATTATTGTCTTGCTGAATACGATGAAGAAAACTGAGGTGTCTTTGTGGAAAGATAACTGTATTTTTAAAAAACATGGAGAAATTCTAACGATTTTATACCTCGAAAAAGAGGGCAGCATGTGTAATAAATATCTTCATGTCCTAAAGGTCAACTGACCAAACTGAGTAAACCTTTTTAAAATAATGACTCTTGCTGTATCAGCTATCAATGAAGTTGATATGAACAGGAAATTACAAGGTAGATGCAACTGATTAACTGTTAGATGAAGGTATGGGAGAGTGACAGAGGGTGAGATTAATTAGGATATGTTGATATAACAATGATATCTTCCCCTTGAAACTACTGTAAGCTAATAATAAAGAGTAAATAAGTAAACATAAGATGAAATCACATCCTACTTTGTAGAACACTGAGCAATCAGGTTTATTATTGTTACCTCTGGGGGCGGCTCTTGATCATTCTTCCAGGATGCATCTGATCCCCTATCCCTAGAAAAAGATGAGACTCACTTAGATGCTTATAAACCAACAATACAGAAATCTAAATAAAGTTGAAGACATGGGCTTTTCTTTAACTTCATAACATAGTTAAAAATGGCAAAAAAAAAACACCCACCAAAAACAAAACAAATAAAAACCCAAACTGTAATGGATGTTTATTTAAATAATGTGTAGCTTATAAAAAAAAAAAAAAAAAAACAAGCACATGTATTAGGATTAGAGGGTCAAGGTGATAGAAGCTACATCCGAAATATAGAAAGGATAGGAGTTTTGACATTTTGATTTCCATAATACCTGAAACATGTATGTAACATTCTATTCAACAAATGTTTAACACCAACTACAGATCAGAAAATATAAAAATTAAAATGACTTGTAGGCTGGTGCTGTTACCATTTCAACATACCTCCAGTCCTGTCTTTTGATGATTATTTTGAAGATAGGAAACTTTTCTGTGCAGGCCCTCAACGTTCTGGATCTCAACCTCCTGAGTAACTAGGATTACAGGTGTACTCCACTGGCACTTAGCTTACTCTTATTATTTAAAATCAAATTGGACACATTTTCATAAAAGCTTTTTGGTTATATTTTAAGCCATATACTTTATTTTTAAAGGATAATTATATGACATATACACAATAGCATCCTTTAACATTCAAAGAAAAATGAAGTATTAATTATTTTCAGGCATTATTTTTAAATGCATTAACATCTTCATGACTTTATGTCTACTGAATTCATCAAACTCATCCTGTCTGTCAGCAGTTATTTAGGAAAACAGATATCACAAAACCTGAAGAGCAATTTAGCAAAATGTTGCTTCAGCTAATTATATGGATTCTTAAATGAGTTAAACCAGTAAGACAAAATTTTCATCTCTTTCATATAGAAACCTTCTATGCTAAGCAGCAAGGACTAATAATTTCACAAAGTGCCAGGGCAACTTACTGACTAAAAGTTCCTTCCTACTTCTCGCAAAAGCTTATCTACAAAAATACACAGTCCACATTTTTAAGTGCCCAACAAAAGGAATGCTAGAACTAAAAGGGATTTGTGTATCAACTCAGTGTAGGGTCTGTGGGGAGTAAGCAGTAAGATCCCCTGCTTCTTGCAGTTTTTCTTCCATTCCTAATATGACTATGTTTTTTCAGTGGTTCATTATATCCTTCCAAAACACTCATTTATTTTTATAGAAAAACTATTCTACTTGAACGCACATAACATGCCAACATTTTAAAAAATTAAGACATAATTTCTACAAAGATGTTTATAGATAAAAGAACTCTTTTGAGTTCCTTTTGAAGAGAAACATCATTTAACTATAAAATACTAACACAATTTGTGGAGGGGAAGGGAAAAAACAAATTGTTTAAATAGGAATACAGGTGGATCCATTGCAACAATGAAATGTACAAGTCGTTAAGTGGAAAAACGAACTTTACAACTTTGGTGGGGGGGCAGGGAGAGGATGGGAAGGGATAGGAAGGGGAAACAAAGGAGGAGGCTACAATGCTTGATAAGAAATGTACTCATTATCCTGCCCATGTAATTGTAACCCCTCTGTATAGATTTTCACAATAAAATAATTAAAATAAATAAATAAATAAATACCAACAATGAGGATTACTCTGAAAAAAATAAATAAGTGAAGAACTAATACTTACTGTTTAAGTTTCTCTGTGAATATATACTGGGTGAAGTCTTTCATTGATGGAGCAAAGTACATCATGTCCTTTATTTTAATGCCTTTACTCTCAATGTGATCTGAAGAATTAAACCGTAACACATAAAACGGATGTGCAACTGGTCCAAATATCTCAAATATCTAAAATAGAAGAAGCATAAAGGCCTTGTAGAAGATGTAAAATAATCATCTGGAAAAGTAGCAATATCTTCTTTAAAAAACAACACACATCCATAATTTCTTAAAGAAGGGTAATTTCAGTAATGTTAGAGCAATAGGTGATTGTCATTATTATTTACTCAATGTATTCATGTTTTGATTATAAACACATTATTAGTTCATTCCAATTGTTTTTAAGAAAAAAATCTAACAAGTGTATTTCTTGCCAAATTCAAATCATTTTCGTTGTTACCTACTTGATACCAATTGTGAATATATTTATTTTGCTTATTTAAATGGTGAGGTACAAAGAATTATAACTGGTAACTTTTGAAAAGTTGCTGTCTGTATTTGAAATCTTATAGAAGTATAAAATCAAGCTTCTGCCTTGAACAGGTGTTAGGTAAATTCTGTTGTTTCCACAGCATTAACAGTTCTGTAAAATCAAACCATGATTGGTTCTAGTTTCGAAGTAGATTTGAACTTTAAGTGACTTTTGTTTGTCTGTTTTTTTTGCCAGTCCTGGGGCCTGAACTCGGCCTGGGCACTGTCCCTGAGCTTCTTTTGCTCAAGGGTCACTTGAGCCATAGCACCACTTCTGGCTGTTTCTGTTTATGTAGCAGTGAGAAATTGAACCCAAGGCTTCATGCATGCTAGGCAGGCACTCTATCACTAAGCCATGGTCCCAGCCCAAAGTTACTTATTTCTAAGAAACTCAAAAGACTTTTAGTCTCTAGCCTAATGAATGGCTGAAAGTATGTTTGGTCTGTTAGAAATGAGTGAAGAAACCTCTATATCCATCTAGATTATCTTTTCCCATTTCTTTGTGCTTTTCTATCTCTATTAATAAATGTGAAGAAAATACAAGCAAGCAGAATATCCTTGTCAACTGGTTAGGTGAGTGATTATTTAAACCACTGTATAACTATATCTCAAGTTGAAGGGTCCATGAGAACTGAGAAAGAGAGTGCTGCACTGCATCCATAAACAGGACCTGCAGAAAGTCATCACATCCTGTAACATAAGTGAGACTGAAAGACCCCCCTCCCTATCCAGGGAGGGAAATAAATGTCATCACTCATCAGGGAGAACTGATCATTACTGGGAGTAAAGGACAAAGGTAAAAATACACATCTGAGACTGGAAATGAGCCTGGATGAGTTCAATTTTATTCCTTTGAGATTTATTATTATTATTTTTTGGGGTAAGATTCTAGGTCTTAAAATAAGATACTTTTAGATCCTTGTAAGTGAATTTTAGAAAGGAACACCAATATCACTGACTATTCATGCTAAAAAAAAATAGAGGAAAAGAAAGGATGTATAATAGTTTGCTACTGAAGGTACAACCAATTTAGTTTTTTATCAACTAAAAGAATGCTCTGCATATTCTGGTCACAAGTTTGACAGATCAATTCTATCTGTCCTCAGCCCCATCACCATCTGGAGGAATCATTTCCAAGCGTTTGGATTTATAATCAAATCTATTTTTTGTTTGCTTGTATTTCAGTCATGGTTTTGCTACAAAATCCAGGCTACCCTCAAGTCCTGGTGTAGCGCTGGAACTCATTACCCTCCTGTCTCAGCTTTCCGATTTCTCAGTACGTGTCAGTTCTTAATTTACAAACCTCTCCAAGAAAAACGGAAAGTTAGAGGTAATTTCTATCCCCAAGCTCATGCCATATGACTAAAGTAAAAGGACATAAACATCAGCTATATTTTTATCTGGCCCACTTCAAAGACAAATGATAGCAGAAGTGATCATTATTAGTTATACTTACTTAGGTCTGAAAATTCAAATACACTTTGAGAGACGTAAAAAAAAATGTCAGTTTATAGAGATTTAATTAGTGAAAGGTTGACTGGTTTGAAATTAAAATTGTCTAAGATAACTACAAGAAAAAGGAAAGTGTCATGAAAATCATAAATAAAAGGTTATTTAAGGAAACAATCAGTTCTAATAACTTTACTTCATATTCAGCAAATAAAACAATTATGTCTCTTGGGTGATGCTAGTAGTTTACATCAATAAGCCTAGATACTCTTGAGGTTGAGCTCTGAGAGTGGATATTCAGAGCCAGCCTTGGGGAGATAAATCCACAAGCATCTCTCTCTAGTTCACTAGCAAAAAGCTGGAAGTGGAGGTATGGCTCAAGCAGTAGGGCACAAGCCATGAGTGAAAAAACAGAGCAAGAGCATTTATAGGACTTATATTCTTGACCTCAGGCCTTAGATTCAAGCCCCAGTAACAAGAGGATTAAAGAAAGATACAATTGCTTCCTCCTCACTGCTGCTATTACTTTCTTCAGGACACAAAGAAACTACTTGTTTTTGCCAAGGCAAAAATTTGTTTTTTTCCTAAGAAGAACCAAAAGAGATAGAGCTGCTTCCAACATGCTCATCTACCCACCTCCCAAATTCCTCTCCTTGAATCTCATCTATCCTTACTAACCTTACGGAATAAATAGGTTGTAATGCAATACAGTACTTCTACATATTAATCAAAAGTACAGACCCAAATTTAGCAAAACACCTCCAACCCTATGTATTTTAAAGGGAAAAAAAAACTATAGCTCTATCCTTTAGACAAGTCATTCTACTTTAAAAAGTATCGATTATCAACTCCAACTAATTCTGACTGGCCACCTTGGTAAACTGGCCTATACACCAAAACGCATACATGCATGGTGGAAAGTGGGAAGACCTGGGAAAAGCTGGGCCCCTTTCTAAGTTGTACTAGAGTTAAACAGCAAGAAAATGGCAGAGGTCAAGGCAGGTTATCGAGTTAAAGCAGTAATGTAGTTTACAGCAATAATCTGGTTTAAATTATTTGGGCGTTTTTGGTTGCTGTTGTTTTTCTAACAACATAATTCTATTTTCTGTAACAAAAAGAATTCAACTCCTGTTCATTTGGGAAAAAAAGTATACCCCATTAAGCTGTTTTTCCAACAAAAAGCAGCTGGTTTCTTACTTCTTTTCTAGTCAGTACATATTTCCTTGGGATTTAATTTAAAAAATGAATACTTGTACTAATAGTCTTCAGCTCAGAAGGTTTTCTGTCCTCTGCCAACTGCTTGGTATAGTGTATGGTTTTCCAGAGAAACTCAAGGGCTGTTCTCACAGTAAGAGGTATAGGATTCCACCTGTGGTAGTTATGGAAATACACACGTTGGTATCTACCCCAGCGTGTGCTCACAATGACACTTCACTGTCACTGAAATCTCTTCTCAGTTGGAACAGATTCTTCCCCTTAAGGAAGCCAAAGCCTACAGACTCAGAGCCACTGACTGCTCAGGGACTTACAAATCAAGAAGGGTTAAGAACTACACTATGCAAAGTCTCCAATGAGCTCTGAGTACCTGGAGGGTAGGAGTTAGGCAAAATACCTGGAAAAGTACCTGACAAATACTAAGAAAGAATTGTACACTCCATGTGTGAATTTCAGGAAAACCAATCAAAAGGGAAACAGACCATATAACTTGGGTTTTTCACTAACCTTTCCTGCTGCTTGTCGGTCACTTTTAAAAATAACAGTCTCCTCATTAACTGGAGGCAGATTACTCATAGATTCAATTATTACTGAAAAGCAGACAAAAATAAAATCAGATTATTTCAAGACTTAATAAGAAGATAATACAGAATTTTAGAAAGAATTTAGGATTTAATTCCAATGTAATTTATAATGTAATTTAAGGTCAGATAATATATCTCAGTAATACTTCCCCTCTGTAGATAAGTTAGTTATAAAATAGGAAAGTACAAAAAAGCTGTAATTCCAAGAGAAGAATTAAAATATAAAATCTAACAAGATATATTATTAATCACTCATTAGTCCAACAATCATTATCTCAAACCACTATTAGCAAAAATAATACAATCATCCAGTCACAAAACTCTTGCTTTAGAAGAAATTTGTCTTCTCATTCTACAATTCTTTCCTACAGAATACTATTTACTGATATATCAAATGCTTATATTCTTCTTGGAGGTACTGGGTTTTGAACTCAAGACTTCATGCTAGCTATCAATACTCCACTGCTGAGCAAAGTATCTCCACTTTACAGACTTTTTCAATTTACATGTTTATTAGATAAACTCAAAGGTGGGAGACACAACAGGAGGCTACCTCAAAAACAGGCATACTCCAATCCCTGAATGAGTGAATGAATGTTTTCTCTGGTTTAAAATGAAGACTTAGGTCCTGCAAGAGTCGGAAAGATCTGCCGAGGAAAGAGGCAGCCCTTGGGACTCGTGACTGCCAGTCATCTGCCTGTCCTGTAGTCCTGCCCTCTACAACTACACAGCCACAGATTGGGCGAGTCTGTATAACTTTGCTCAACTGTGGTTACAGTAGTCTTCAAGTGGTTTATCTGCACACTCAGGAAAGGGAGGAGGAGGGAGGAGGAGGGTCCTGGAGAGTCTGGGGAAAAGGCATGACAGATGTTGAGTGGGCTGGAAAGAGGGAGGTTGGCCCAAAGAAGACCTAAAAGCAGAAATACTGTTAATTTCTATGAGAATCCTAAGATTTGTCTTCAGAGTCCAGGACTAATGAGAGAGAATTATGTCTTATCAGCAGCTAAAGTTCAGATTCCTGAAGGAAAATTCCTGTATCATATGTATACAGGCACATGCATAATTTAGGGAGTGGGTAAACAGCCCTTTGGAAGTTGTGTTAAGCTAATGAATAAAAAGAAGTATCATATGCACTAGATACAATGACTCATGATTATAATCCTAACTATTTGGTATCAGAAAATAGGAGGATTGCAGTTCAAGACCAGCCCAGGCAAAAGGTTTATAAGATTCCATCTTAATAAAGTTTGGCATAATAAAATGGGCCTGTATCCCAGCTACACAAAAAGTGAAAATAGGAAAGAAAAGGGAAACAGGAAAAAGGAGGGGAAGGGAAAACAGCGTGTCAGTGAAAACAGGTTTTTATAAAAATAATGTATTCATGGACGTAAAAATTCAATTTTATCCATCCAAACTTAATGTGTAAAGTGTTGTTATATATTTCAAAGAAACTTTACTAGTTATCAAGTCTGTGATGTAATGATTAGTGCATGCTTAGATATAATCTTTGCTAATAAAATTATTTACATACCTAATTGCTCAATAATACTTGAAACCATCCCAAGAGGCTTTACTTCAATATCTTCAGGCAGAATTATAGTGAGCTCTTCAACGGAAGGTAGTTCCTACAATAATAATAATAATAATAGTAGTAGTAGTAGTAATAGTCTTGCTCCAGCTTCAATTAACTTTAAAAAATGAACAATGTTTTCCACTTAGTGCTATACACAGCTTTGAAGACACAATATTAAGTTCTTTAACACCTCTTTGATGCTGCCTTTTCTAGTGGCTGCATGGATACCTACAGCATTTCACCAACTGAGTCACTTACTATCTCTAAAACATGCATCCTAAATTCTAATAGAGTCAAGTTATTAGCCTTGTCTTTTTTCCAACTATACCTAAACAAGAGACACGCCCAACCAAAACCCAAATCTATTATTAAGGAATTCATTCCATTCAAAGAGAAATCTACTGAGAACTCAATAATTCCACCACAGAAGGAGATTTCTCTTTGTGTTGCCTTGGTAATTTGGTTAATTAATTTAACAGTAATTAAGTAGCAGAACACACAAGCAGCAATCTTTCCTGGGGCTGGGCACAGAAGAGTGAATATATGGGCTCTTGAAGGAAAAAAGTAATGAATGTGGTCACCCACCTTTCAGTCAAATATAAAATTCTTGGAAATAGTCTTCTGTAAAAGTTGGGAAGGTCTTACCTCATACCTTCTCTTTCCAGGTTAAAAAATAAATTCCTTTACACCTACAGTTTTTTCTCTGTTTTGACCTAGCTAAAAACTGCATCTCAGTTGCTATGGAAACAAATGCCTAAGTAGATATGTAGTTGAAAAGAAATATGAGACTAAAACTGTCATCAGCCTTTAGATTAAGTAAATAACAGGGTGTTTGTAACTGTTACTGATGATATTAACTATCAAAAGAAAGATTTTTTTCTGAAGAAATTTTGAAAGGACCAGGCTCTAGTCAAAGTCTTTGTTAGGAGTTATTTGGGAGAAAGATTAGCTTTTGAAGGACAATTAGAAAAGATAGAAAACCTAAATAATGCAAAACGTACTATACATAGATCAACAGCTAATCATTTTCCCCTATGGGAACTTAAACAAGGTTTAAAAAACAAAATCATTTAGCCAAAGTAGAGGACATCTAGCCAGGCAATGGCTGCTCTAACCACAAATTCTAACTTACTCAGGTGGAGATCAGAGATGGAAGGATCTAGGTCCTAGACCAGGTAAATCCAGGCTGTTTAGGGAAAATGCACAGCATTACCTCAAAAATAACTAGATTAACAAGGCAGCTAGAAGTACAGCTCAAGCAGCAAAATACCGGCCTGGCAAGCATGAAGCCTTGCATTATTATGCTAGTGCCTCCCAGAAGCAAGCTATACTTGAAATAGGGTATGCATGTACGTTTGTAGTGTGTATGTGATTCTGGGGCCTTATCCAGGTGCTCCACTGCTCGGTCAACACCTCTAGACCTTTTGTTTCTCTGATTACTTTCCAGATAGTTTCACTTTTTCCCTAGGCCAGCGAGTCTTCAATTGATCCTCTTCTGTTTTGCTTCCTGGGATGATAGACTCAACCACCACACCCAATTACCTGGGTGAGATGGGCCTAGTGAGCATTTTGCCTGTGTTGGCCTTGAATCACACATTCTCCTGATCTCACTCTCCCAACTAGCTAGTGCTTCAGTGGTGAGCCAATGGCCCCGCGGACATGCTATTTTTATTTCATTAATGACTACTTAAGAGATTCTCTAAGGGCTGCTACCAAATAAATGTAGAGAAAAGTCAGCAACATTCCTGTTTATGGTCAAAGCTTTCATGGTGCCGGGAAATATAATTTTATCTCTCAGAATTCTTCTAAGTGTATTTAGGGAGAGGACAACCATTTGCCACGTTGACATATTAAGTACCAAATGCCCTTTCTTCCAAGTTTCTGGAGGATTCAAAGTGCTGTGTGTAGTATCTCAGACATGGAAAAACCCTTTAAAATATGATTGAGAATATAATGTTAGGGGATTGCAGAGAGAAGAGCTTTAATATTTTAGAGGATAATTGTACCACTCTGTCACAAAATAGGTATAAAATAGAATCTTGTTTTAAACTTCGGTATTAGGAAATAGACATCCTGGCACATTCCCTAGTCATTTGTTTTCACAGAATTTAATTATTTCACAAACCGTAGCCATTCCTGAGCTCAATTTTAAAATCCACTAGTGAGTTTTTCACTTTTCTGGTTCCTTCTGAATATTGATATATTTGCTCCATTTATAATTTCATCCTATTAAAAAGGAGTGGATATTGGCTTCATCCTTATAGAAATTACTAGAAAGTAATTCTATAACTGGCAAGGTTGTAGAATAACTTGAGACCCTTCCATCCCCACTGATTTGAAATACAATGATCTGTGTTAAGTGTCAATACTAAAGTCTTTTAGCAACTGTGGCTTTCATAATGAAATTCAGTATTTGGGAAGAACTAGTTGCTCTACTGACTATCAATATTTAGGCACTTTGGGATTTTTTTTTAAAACTGTATTCACATGTTTTAGTAGAAAAACTTTAGAATCCTTTTGTCCCTTTGGTGCTATTAGTACTGACCATTATTTTTTTATAAGATCTTACATAAGTGCTTAGGTCTTTTCTAAGCTATTTTACATGTTACTAGCTATTATAAATTTCTAGTTATGTAATACTTGTATTGCTATTATAAACAGACTCTTTATGGGGCATCATTTGAACATAAGTAAACATCATACTGAAATTTCTACTAATTTCTTTATCATAATGTAAGTATTTCCAAAAATACGCCACACTCCTTTACAACATTAGTACAACATAGCCTTTCTTTTCAAATGATATTGGTTGGTATTTCAAAGAGTTGGGCAGTTGTGATGACAGTGGGTGTGATGTGTGATTAGAATACTTTAAACACTAGGGTCAGATGAGATCCTGATGTTCTCCTCTGAGGAGTACTTGTAAGAGAAAGAAAAAAAGATACACAAAGCCAGAATATTTGAGGTGAGACAGAAACTGACATCTATAATGTCAGAAAGAGTCTGCCAGGCCCCCTTAATTTTGACTGCCACTTGTTTCATCTGTGAATTAAAAGAATGAAAAGTTTGGACTACAAACGGGGAAAGATTTCGGGTTTCCTATAGAACAAATTCTAAGGATAAAACATAAACAGACACCACTGCCTGTGACTACTATCATACTTCCAGTTCCAGTCTAGCAATACTAGAAGCCTGTAGCAACGTGTATACAGTTCTCTATGGATTCCAAAAAATATCAAAGGCATGATGCTGCCTAGTGATAGTACAAAATTTCGATTCCAAATATTCTGTAGAACTAAGAGGTATACAAAAAAGGATATATGCAAGTGGTAAGTAAATGAAATCAACCTTGTACAATTCCTTATTAGAAGAGCTTGATACAAATTTGCCTTTCAATGTCCAGTTAGGCCACAAAGTATATATTTACTTTGAGAATGGCAGACATTTGGGAGACTGAATCAGAGAAAACAGATCTTACTTTTTTCTTTTACATAGCATGAGGAGAGGAGGATGAAAAACAAAAAATGCTCCAAAATCAATCAGCAAGATTTTACCCAAGACGTGTGTTCAAAGAAGCAGAACTTTAGAAGGTTTCAAGGAGACAGATGTCTAAAAAAGTCAAAAGAAAAAAAATCTTTGGATTGCCACATTAGAATGAGCACTATCTAAGATCAGGTCTTGATGTTTGGATGTCAATGTCACCACTTTTCTGATAAGAAATCTAAAAGAGCAGCACCACTGCCAGTTCTATCTCTGCTTTACTAAATCACCCTGATACTTTTCCTTCCACACAATACACTATTGTCTGGGATTTATTTACTTGCTTTCTGTTTCTCCTGAACACACAACAGGTCTAACAAGAATCAAGGTCTACTCAACTGTGCTTATTTCTATAACAGCCAGAAAGATGGCTAGCACATGGCAGGTACTCATTATATATTTATTAAATGAACTAACATATTATCAGTCCAAGCAAATCAAATCTCAGAAGTTGAATATTTTTTGTAAGAGAAAGCAGAAAACGAACTATAATTCAATATAGAGTCCTCCAGGAATGAAAAAAAAGAACCAAAAACACCTTAAATACAATCGCTTCAAAAATTAAAATAAAAAGCAGGCTTCTGCCAGGAGGCAGTGGCTCATGCCTCTATTCCTAGCTACTCAGAAGACTGAGATCTGAAGGATTTTGGTGCCAGGTCAGCACAGGCCAAGAAGAACTGAAGGTATGGCTCAGGTGGTCCAGTGCCAGCTCTAGCTAGCTATGTTCAAACTCCAGCACTGGGGGAGAAAATGGAGGAACAGGAAGAATTCCAAAGGAGCTTTATTGCCTAGGATTGATGCATAGATACCAGTGGCTTGCAGCAGCAAACATTATTACAATGATTAGCTTAACATTTGGCTGCATGATAACATAGCAGCTGTCTCTGATAAGATAATAAGAATAAATCCTCAGTTATACAATCTTCTTTAAAGGAAGTAAAAAATCACTTTGCTTTTCATCTGCAAAAAGGGTGTGCATAGGTAAAACACAAATACCAGTAATGGAGGAAAAAGGCCAGAACATACATACTTATGGGTATTACTGTTTTGACACTACATAAGAGCTAGAAGAGACATCCTGACAAACTGAAATGTTTAATGTAAAGATAATGAGGGAGAACTGGGATACAAAGACCTTCATCACCCAGTAAGAAGAAAAGAAGGGTATTTAATACAAGTTAAGAAGATTAATGTATGAGCTTGGATTACCCTACTACCATCAAGGAAAGATGAGTGGATAGGAAAGATCCTTTTTGTTTATAGATCGAATACTACGACACTTAACTGTACATGACTATATACACTTAAATTTAATTGATCAAAACTAAATACATCTTAAAATTCAATGTGCAGCCACACTTGACACTTTTTTTGTTTTATTCTTTTTTTTTTAATTTTTTTAAAATTTTTTGTAGTGCTGGGGACCAAACCCAAGGCCTTGTGCAAGCCAGGCAAGTGGTCTACTGCTGAACTACATATATCCTCAGCCCATATATCCTCAACCTGACACAA